TTGGGAGGAGGTAGAAGCGAGCTGTTCGGTGCTGGGGGACAATCAGCTTGGAGGCAGTGGTGGGGGTGGGGGGGATCACCAGTTGAAATGAGGTCAGTAATCATTGTAGATACAATGGCCTGATGTTCCATGGTGGGGTCATGGTCCAGGTGGAGATATGAGCAGGTATCTGAGAGCTGGTGCTCAGCCTCTACAACAGCACCACCCTTACTGGCAGGCTTAGTAACAAAGTTAGGGTTAGATCTAAGTGCAAGGAGTGCAGTAAGTTCAATGGGCAATCTGTTGGATTGGAGTGAGGGAGGGAGAGAAAATGAGGTGACCAATGTCATGTTGATAGTTCTGAATGAATAGATTCAGTGCAGGGAAAAGGTCAGAGGGTGGGGTCCAGGTGGAGGGAGAGTGTTGCAACTGGGTGAAGGGCTCTGTGGGATGGGGACAGGATTCTTGTCCAAAGAAATGAGTACGGAGGTGAAGACAGTGGAAGAACAGTTTGACGTCATGTCGTGCCTGAAATTTGTTGAGGTGGGGATGTAGAGGAATAAAGCTGAGGCCTTTGCTGAGTACAGAAAGTCCAGCATCGGAGAGTGGAAGGTTAGGAGGGATGGTGAATACCCGACAGGAGGTGGGGAGTTGGGAGAGGGGATAGAGTCAGAGGGAAGGGGAGGAGAGGAAGGTTCCAGAGGGCCATGGGTTTCGCTGAGTTGTTGCAGCTTGTGGGCCTTGATGCCTGAAAGGAAAAGTAAAAGTTTCTGGTTAGCACGACGAATGAGCCGGAGGATGAAGTGGAACTGTGGAGTGTTGTAGCCCTGAGCCAGTGTGTTGCGATGCTGTTGGAGAGAAAGGTTGAGAGTGTGCATGTGGTGCCACATGGCACTGAGTGTGGATCTCAGGATACAGCGAGAGCAGCTGTCTGTGGAACATTGAACATCACAGAGATATCTGTGATCCTGGGTGGATTTGTACATCCGTGATTCCTCTGACACTTTACACGTGTTTCAGAATTTCCAGTTTGCTGGTTCTAGCCTCCTCCTCTTTACCATGGACGTGCAATCCCTTTACACATTCATTCTCCAACAGGAGGGTCTAAGGGCTCTCCGTTTCTTCCTGGAGCAAAGGCCTGAACCATCCCCACCCACCACCACCCTCCTCCGCTTGGCCGAGCTTGCCCTCACCCTCAACAACTTCTCTTTCGACCCCTCTTGTTTTCTTCAGGTGAGAGGGGTGGCCATGGATACCCACATGGGCCCCAGTTATGCCTGTCTCTTTGTGGGGTACATTCCCTGTTCTAGTCCAATTCTGGCTCCCACCGACAACTCTTTCTCCAATATATCAATGATATCATTGGTGCAGCATCCCTCTCTCATACAGAATGGAAAACTTCATCAATTTTGCTTCCAATTTCCACCCTGTCCTCACTTTCACCTGGTCTATCTCTGACTCCTCCCTTCCCTTCCTCAACATCTCTGTTTCCATTTCTGGGAATATACTGGCTACTAATATCCATTACAAATCCACTGACTCCTACCTGGACTATACATCCTCACACCCCACTTCCTGTAAAGACTCCCTCCCATTCTCTCAGTTCCTCTGTCTCCATCGCATATGTTCAGATGAGGCTAGCTTCGATAAGGGAGCCTCTGAAATGTCCCCCTTCATCCTCAACCGAGGATTCCCCAGCTCCATTGTCGACAGGGCCCTCAACCACGTCCAACCAATCTCCCACACTTCCACCCTCACCATTTTTCTTCCCTCCCGCAACAGCGATAGGGTTCCCCTTGTCCTTACCGACTATCCCACCAGCATCCACATTCAGAAGATCAGGCACCATTTCCGCCACCTCTAGTGAGATGCTACCAGCCACATATTCCCCTCCCCTCCCTTGTCCGCCTTCCGCAGGGACCGTTCCCTCCAGGACACCCTGGTCCACTCTTCCTTCACTCCCAACACCCCGCCACAGCCCAATAGCACCTTCCTTTGCAACCGGCCCATTGAACATCTGCCCATTTACTTCCTCCCTCCTTACTATCCAAGGGCCCAAACATATCTTCCAGGTGAAGCAACACTTCACTTGCACTTCCCAGAATCTAGTCTACTTCATTCGCTGCTCACAATGTGGTCACCTCTACACTGGGGAAATGAAGAGTAGACTGGGTGACCGCTTCACAGAACATCTATGTTCTGTTTGCAAAAAAGACCCTGAGCTTCCAGTTACCTGCCACGTTAACACACCACCCTGCTCCCTGGCCAACATTCTCTGTTTCAGGCTTGCTGCAGTGTTCCAGCGAAACCCAATGCAAGTTGGAAGAACAGTACCTCATTTTCCGCTTGGGGACACTGCAGCCCTCCGGACTCAATATCAAGTTCCATAATTTTAGGGCCTAAACTCTCCCGTGTCCTAAACCCCCAACCCCACACACCAGGCCTTGTTACCACATACAAAAACAGAAGTTGCTGGAAAAGCTCAGCAGGTCTGGCAGCATCTGTGAAGGAAAAATTAGAGTTAACATTTTGGGTCCTGTGATCCTCCTCAAAACCGGACCTGAAATATTAACTCTGATCTTTTTCTTTACAGATGCTGCCAGGCATGCTGAACATTTCCAGCAACTTGTGTTTGTGTTCCTGATTTACAGCATCTGCAATTCTTTCGGATCTTGTTATCACATTGCCTGCCATTACACACAGCCTGGAGATAGGAAGCACTGCAGATCCTGGAGTCAGAGTTAATAGAGTGTGGAGCTGGAGAAACACATCTGATGAAGGGTGTAAACCTGAAACATCGACTTTTCTGAGACAGTAGGATCTGCAGATGCTGCAGAATCTGAGATAACAAGGTGTTGAGCTGGATGAACACAGCAGGCCAAGCAGCATCAGAGGAGCAGGAAAGCTTTCCTGCATGTGTTCATCCAGCTCTACACCTTGTTACAGAGATAGTAGGAACTGCAGATGCTGGACGAGAACGCCCTCAACCGTGTCTCCCACATTTCCCGCAACTCATCCCTCACACCCCGTCCCCGCAATAAGAACCAAAAAAGAATCCCCCTCGTCCTCACGTACCACCCCACCAACCTCCGGATCCAACGCATCGTCCTCCGACACTTCCGCCATCTGCAATCCGACCCCACCACCAAAGACATCTTTCCCTCCCCACCCTTATCTGCTTTCCGGAGGGAACACTCTCTCCGTGACTCCCTTGTCCGCTCCACAATCCCCTCCAGCCCCACCACACCCGGCACTTTTCCCTGCAACCGCAGGAAGTGCTACACCTGCCCCCATACTTCCTCCCTCACCCCCATCCCAGGCCCCAAGAAGACATTCCACATCAAGCAGATGTTCACCTGCACATCTGCCAATGTGGTATACTGCATCTGCTGTACCCGGTGTGGCCTCCTCTACATCGGGGAAACCAAGCGGAGGCTCGGGGACCGCTTTGCAGAACA